ATTTTAAAGTTGGGGATAAAGTATTGAAGCGGAAATTTTCTTTATCAAGTGCCCCAGACAATTTTACGGCAAAGCTAGCTCCAAAGTTTGAAGGCCCCTATGTAATCCAGGAAATCAAAGGAGTAGTATTATATCTTAAGAACGAGAGAGGGGAAATCTGTAAAGCAAGTCCCGACCAGGTGAAAAAATACTATAATCCAAATGATTTTGAAATCCTTAAAAGTTTCTTGCAGGACTTAAGTCTAAACGAAATAGAAGAGCCAGAGACAACAACTATTCCACCACCCAAGAAACAGAGAACTGAAGAGAGACCTAGCACTTCTACAACCCGGACGTCGGTATCAAAAAGAAAAAATAATTTTCAAACTCCAGCGTTTAAGAAAAACAAAAATACAGATGCACCGGGTAAAGAAACCGTGGTAAAGAGAAAAACACCACCTACAAAGGATAGCAGGAGAAATTACACATCAAGGAGAACGCGCACACGGCCACAGAGTCAGGTGCCAAACAAGGCCGCCGTTCCGGAAACTGAAACGCCAACAGGAGGCACAAAAATACGAGGAACAGAAGAAATTCAAGAAGGACTCCAGACCGGAGGACGTCAAGACCAGCCGTCCCAGGGAAAAACGGAAAGGCCAACAACCCGACGATTACTCCGTCCAAGAGGCCAGCATGTAGAGGACGCAAAAGAAAAAGTAATGTGGACGGACACTCGGAGGGCAGTAAGGAGAAGATTAACATCCATGAAACCTCTAACTTGGGACCAATTTGCCAAAAACGAATGACGGAGTTTCAAGCATCGAAAACTCAAAGATAAGTTAAAACCTTCTATAAATTTTTTTTTCTCTTTTGTTCCGAAATGTTATGCATAAGTACGAAGTTCTATGTTTTGACGAAAGTCAATAGTCTCGGTTGAGACTTAGGTTTTGTTTTACTTTATTTAGCTAAGGCAAAAGTATTATTTTCTTTAAGTGTAAAAGCTAAAAACAAGCATTTTCTGTTGGTCGAAAGACTAATTCTGTTATGTTTAAAGCCAAAATTTGGCCGAAGATAAAAATAACTTCGTATTCTTGTATTAATAAGAATTTTACAGTTCAAGTGCCGCCAAATTTTATTTGTTATTCATTTTATGGTAAATTGTAAAAAGTATATGTTTAAAATGTACGTAAATACTTGAATGTTATGTAAAAGTAGAATTTAGTCTAGAAGCATAAAATTGTAGATGCTAAAAGTGAAATGCTTAAAAGCAATGAAGTTCAAAATTTAAGTATTAAATTGTAGATAAAGTCATGCTTTAGAGCGAAAGCCTGCATGTTTAAAGATGAATGAGGGGAAGTTAGAATGATGATGTGTTTTGTAGGGTTCTCCACCTACATTTGAATTTTTAAGAATATTAAAGTAGCTCATTGAGTTGCAGAATGTCGAGTAAGGTGTGTCTATTTGGTCGTTGAATTGAATTCTAACAAATCATGGTGGTTAGGGGAAGTGTTGTAAGACTAAAACACGAATATTCCCGTTTGACACCACACACGGTGGAGAGCCAGGGTAAAGTTAAATTAATGCTTGAAAAATTGAATGAATGTGAAGTAAGCAATAACTAAGAAAAACGAATCGTTTAAAAACAAAAATTTATTGTGTCAAGAAAGTGTAAATTATAATGTATTTAGAAAGATACTGATACTTATTCCTTCCAGATGCTGGAAGGAAAGACCAAGATTGATTGATGAAGTCCAGGAAAAGTTGCTGTAAGAAGAGAGCTTTATAACGATCAACAGAATTTTAGTATACAATTGGTTACATAAGATTTTTTTTGTGTAAACGAGGTTCTCGCCAGTTAGTTCAGAATTAGAGAAACTTACAACAGGTCGTTTGTAGGACCTGCTTCCAAGTTTTCCAAATTCTGGCAGCGGAAAATGTAGGGTTTATATTTATTTTAACTAACATTTATTTTAAGTTTAAACTATCTTTCCTGTCAAGCCTTACTTTCCCCTGGAACTGCCAATGCCAGAATATGTAAATTTTAGTAGAACGCGCAAGGATTCAAATTATCAGCGGAAGTATTATAATTTAAATAGGAAGGAAACGAGTTCGGGGTGTGATATTCTTACTTCACGAGCGCGGAGGTAGTTAGCGAGAATTTGAAGAACCCCGCGTTTCGGCCTATGTGCTTGGCGGGAAGTAGTGTTAAATCGTTCAAGTGGAGCTTCAAGTCTGCTGAATTAGCAGCGGTATTGTAAAACGCGGTGAGTTAGTTATTTTAGAGAGCCTCGTAGTTAGAGTCTTGTCTTTAGTTTCTTTTCAGGTTATTATTTTTATTTGACCGCCGAGTTGGCGCAGTCTGTGAGCGTCAAGAGCACGCAATTGTAATTTTTACGTTGAATAAAAAGGGACTTAAACCCTTCACAAGACTCTGTATTTTATCCAGTTTTCACAGTCACCTCTTGGTTGCGTGCAAGTTGGAGGCGCGCAACGTTACAACCTGAAACAGCACATTTTCATTTCACATGAGGGTCACGTGTTCTGATTTACATATTAGCGAAGAAGATACTGAATATGCATGAACTCGTTAGAAACGGCATGACGTTAGAAATATAAACAATTCGGTAGAATCATGAAAAAGTTGTAGTATGGGTTAGTACATGTCGAAATGATCCTGAGGTTACGTTGAAAGATCTAATTTTAGCCATCATAAAATGTAACTAGATCTACCTAAGTGTTGATCCTTGCGAATTCTGGCGCAGGCTTGGATATGAACACAACCAGAGGAAGGGTGTAAAAAACCCTTTTATTAGACATTGTATAAATTACAGTCGGCACGAAAGTATGTGCTTACAAACACGGACCACTTGCGGTGAGAACTTGAAAGACAAAGTTCAAAGGTAAGAGTAGTGCGAGACTACATATTTCACTTTAAACTAACCGGTTTAACTCAGAAACCTACACCGGCTGAATACTAACTCAGCGACAAGAATGGGTGGCCAATATTAATGTTAACAGCTGGAAGAGAATAGCAACGTGTGTTCACAATAGCGAAATCCCGCTCTGTTTAAACTTTTCACTCTAATAGTTTAAATATTCTCGTTCACCCTAACTCATTTAGGCCCTGGCTAGGAAACGGGAGGGGAATAAGAGAAAGCAGGAAAGGCTCACAAAATAAAAATAACTGTTAATAAATAAAAACTTACAACGGGACTGGCAAGATAAGAATTTATCCTAGCATTGTTATTGCTGTTTGGGAAAGTGAAAGACACGAATGTTTACTATAAAAAACAGCCATGTGGAAAGAACTCCAGGAAAGACTACCTCCACGATCGTTTAAACTGAGATATTAATAGTAATTGTGGAAGTTGTTGCCCATGAAAAAAAATAAAATAAAATGATTCCAGTTAGTTTTACAATGAAACCTTGGATTATGAAGGCTTCACATCATGAACAATTCTATTAACGAACAAATTATAGGAACAGAAAACATCTTGGACAATGAATGTCTCGAGTTACGAATACTCAAGTCGGCTACAAATGATTTTGAAAGATCTTTTGAGGTAACCTATGTTATATAATTAGCAATCATGGACTTCCTGAAACATATTTTTTTAACATTTTCGGTTTCTTAACTCTCATTAAAAAAGGGAAACAGGAAGCGACTTACGGGAACTATGGATTCAGTCTGAAAGAAATTATGGTTTCCTGGCGCAGTGTCGTCAACACTTCGTACGACACCTTGCTGGCACAATGATGTCAACACTTAGGCACAAGTCTGACACTTAGGTCAACTTTTGTTATGTACGATACTGAACACTAGACTTGGGTTTGGAAGTTAAAAATAAACACATGGAGGAGTTAATAAAGGACAAAAAATAGCTCAACAAGAAGGTAATACAACTTCAGGCATAGCAACAAAGGCGATTGTGAAAGGAAGGTCTTCAGAAGCAGAGGAAGGATGTGTTCGAGAAATGTTTGCAAAAGGAAGCAAGATGCCCAGTTTTCACGTAAAGATATGCACTGTTAAAACAGTATCAAGCTACAGCGAACGCATTTTCAATGATAATGTTATGACTCATTATAAAAAGCATTTTAAAACGTAGACAGCAACAGATCATATGTGACAATGTTTAAAGAAACTGGAGCTCAATGAATCTGAAGGAGAGTCGAATGGCGCTAAGAGAGAGAGAAAAAGTGAAAACAGATGTCCCAGGAAGATAGCTGTCTGATATTTAAATGGAAAAGGACTCTTCATCCAAACAATAACATCTCTTTCCTTTCTGTTCTTCAACACTTTATACTTAAGCCAGTCATTCCCCTTCGAACAGGTACAGTAAAATTAAAATGAGTTTTTGATTACTTGTTTAATTTTTCTAAATTTAATCATTTCTATTAGTTCTGTATTATGAACTTGCACACAAAAAGGCCCTTTTAACATTTAAATAAGTAATCATTAGTGGTCCAAAAACGAACTTAATTAATTCCTATAAAAATATAGTTCCGGTTTACGAACTTTTCGGATGACAAATTGCCTTCAAGAACGAATTAAATTCGTGAGCTGAGGTTTCTTTGTATTCTGTATTGTTTTTCAATTTATGGACTTGACAGATATACAGTTTCACTTTCTATAAGCAGAACATAGCCATCACATGATGCAATTTAGTATAAGAAATATTGTATTAAGAAAAGTAATGGCTAAAAGTTATAGCTGGTGTCGTGGACAGGCAACATGTCAACTGAAAGTTAAATTAATATTAAAATTGATAACCGCCATTAGATAGTTAGTAGCTTCATGAAGAGAGTTCATATGAAATATCATATTTGGAATTTTTTATATTTAAAACTTGAGATTCAAAGTATTTACAAAGAAAATTTGTCAGTTAGCTTCTTGAATTTTTTGCGGAGATGCAGAAAAACATTTGTGTTAGTTATTTATGTATCCGTAGACAAACCAAATACTACTTTAGGCGATTTATTTAAAGAAACAAGAGACATATGAAGAAAATCTATACCCTTACCTGGAATGCTAACCACTTGCTAATCGTGGGACTGAAGTATGCAAAATCTGTGATCTGATTGATGACTAGCCATTGGTCTTTTGATGCTGTGTCCTTAGACGACACACCTCTTGCCTCAATCCGAATAGGAACTCGCAAGTTTTCGTACTTATAAGGCGTAGTCCATTCTTTAACTGTGAAATAAAAATATTTCTATGTTATGACACCAAAATCTATAATTTCGCATTGTAACATTAGTGATGGTTCTATCAAGTTTGAAAAATTTCAACATATTGATACTGAACATTCCCAAACGTCTCAAAACTTATACTTACGTCAGTAAAACGACTGATTTTTAGAAAACTCTTGAAGAAAACTGAATGAATTTATTTGGGATAATATACAATATAAAGTAAGAGATCCGAAATCGTCAGGACTTCGGCGATTCCGGATTTTGAAAATTTCTGGATTGTAGTAAATTTAAATTTAGTAAAGCATATGGACCTTACCTCATTAAGGCTTTACTCTTTGTTTAGGACAATATGGTAAAAGTGTTAACCACCTCCCAACCATTCAAAAATAGAAAATGTGATCCTGACTAACATCAATGCGTCAATCAATTCATGGTGCAGTTCGGTGCCACTCCCTAGCTGGCAGGCGTTTGAAAGTGGAGAATCTCAGAGCGGAGAAAAATATCATTTACGTGACAGTTTCTTTCTTTTGTTGAGTATTATATTCTCCGTTCCTAGACTTTATCAGAATTTTTTCCCGTTTTATTTATATATTTATTTAATTGTATTGGACCAGAAGTCCGAATATTAAATCATTCCGAACTCTGGACGGCAGGATTCAGGGCTTTATACAGTATAACAAAATAACACGATATGTTAATATAAAAACTAATGTGCATGCACACAATATAAAACTGTTTTATGAAACATATAAAACTAAAATAATATGAGAAAATGCAGTTTTATGTAAAACTGAGAACAGATGCAGATTTTTGACAGTAACAGGAAATATGAACTCTTCCTATCTCGAATTAATAACGCTATTTCGCGCTTTGTTAATAAAATTGCTAATTAGCATTTTTAATTTAAATTAAACCTTTTTACTACTATCGTCCTCAAAGGCACTAAGACCTTTAAGAGGAGAGTTGCCATGAAATGTTTTTCCAAAAAAGTCTGTAAAGTTATCTAAAGGTTTCGAATAAGGAGATTTTACACAAGAAATCATGTTTAAATTTTCAGAACTTAAGAAACGAACGAAAAGTATGGACATATAAATAATACTCAGTGAGTAAGTATATATATCTAAAAGTGAATTATTGGATACCATATCTAAAAGTGCCATCTTATTTTTATATATATTAATAAGCTTCATAAATAGTCCAATCTGATCGATTACTCTTGAATAAACACTTTTCGTTGTTGCAAACATTCGCACTAAAATAAAAAATAAAAAAATATTCTAAATTATGCGATATATCATCAACAGTTTGGGTTAGTTTTTCGTTAATAGTTTTTATAAAATTAAAATTCAGCTTCTTTTACTCATTATTAATTATTTAGCAATATTTGCACTATTTATTGTTAGTTAATTGTTAGGAAATGAGGCTATCAACTTTTCCTCTTTTTTAATTGTTTTTTTTTTCTTTTTCACTAATGCATTACTAATATACCATTGTCCAGATGTATCACCTATCGAGCATTTCTGGAACTTTGGGGTCGCCAAAACGCTCGTGGCATTCGTTCAGCAACTAATAGAGTAAACTTGGATAGATAATACGGCTTGAAAACAATATTGAATATTATTACTCAGGGGTACATACTGAAAACTTATTTGATTCCATGCCAAGAACCGTATACTTACTCTTAAGTGCCACAATGAATAAAAGCGCACGGAAGCTTCACTACATATTGATCTTTGGTATTTAATATATTGTAATTGTTTATTTCTGCATTTAATCGTTTCTTTGTACAGTTCCTATGTGAAGTCAACATCATTCATTTCTGATTATTCAGGTCTCAATCTAGGGTCTCAATTCAGGTCTCGATAATTAGGGCTATCACTAAAGCCCTATTAACAAGTTTGACTTAGACTGGACTGCCAGATTTGTACTTAATGTTTCTATGTCTTGCTGGCGATAGATGAAAAAAATAGCATAGCGCCTTGATATGTAAAATACTATTAGTACTTAAAATTCGTCTGTATTAATTCGTCCGTAACTGTATTAACACTTAAAATTTCTCAAACTGTGCCAGATATTATATCTGTAAAAAAGGTGTACCTCATTTTGAAAATTAAATAGCTCATACTTCCTCACCTTGGTATACTTCTCCTGTTGTAGATGTTTCTATCTGATATGGTTTAAGATACAATAGGCGTGGAAACTTAACCTCACTCATATTCCATCATTTGGTTCTTGATAACATCCAGAAAGCCCAGTGTTCTCTTAAAATTAAATACTGAATGCTACAATCATGTTTGATTTTATTCGTGAAAACCAAAATTTCTTCAATTAGCGAAATGTAGACCTAACGTAAATCCTCTGTAAAAATGAAGCAAGGAAAAAAGAATTGTATTACAGCGGGGAATACCTAATATGTGATATTCTGTTAATTATATATAGTATCCGTATTCTGAATGGTTTAAGTATTCACTGAATTTTAAAAAAAACGTTTAATTTTAGCTGTATCAAAATTCTCGTAATATACTAAATATTAATGATTAACCTTATAAAACTTACCAGCAAAATAATAATACATGGTCACGTTGTCCCTGTCGTCTAAAACTGGCAATGAATAGTTATCGACTTTGATATCTCTAACAGTTGTTTGTCCATTGTATTCCTAGAAGCAAAAATTGTAATACTGAATAATTAACTGAACATAATAGCACAAGTTCCCTTGAACAACAGAAAATAATTGCTGCTACACTAATCAACGTGTTTCAAAGAGCTATAGAAATATACAAAACATGTATGGCAAACTAGTAGCTGCACAAATAGAGAAGAAATTTGAAAAGTGTGTTGTTCAAAAATAGAGAATGGCATGGGAAATGGCATTATAAACATTGTTTTTAAGAAAATACAATCTATTGTCCTATAAATTAAATAAATATTTGAATTACATTTCATGGAGTTGATTTCGGTGTCAAAATCATTTGATTTCGATAGTCCACTCCTTATTATGCATTTGTAAAATTATAGAAAAGTAAATACTTCCACAGAAAACACTTAAGAAAATATCACTTTAAAGTATATACGCAAGTTTGAGTTCTACTATGAAGACTTTAAATGAGTACTTACGGTAATAACAATATACTTGTTTTATATCATTTTCATAAATGTTTAGTTAGTTCACTCATGCTACTTCAGTGTGGTTGGAATTTTGTCATTGATTTTTAACCTGCTTCCCGATAAGCGCTCGAGTTCAAATTTTGTACATATGCACTGTAGGTCGATGACAATGCAATGCAATGAAGCGATGTTTCCAAATTCGATTTAGATTTTTTTTTTTTTTTTTTTGGTTGACGGTTAAACGATTTTTCGCACACATCTTCGTTTAATGAACAAATTAAACAAATAAGAATTTTTCTGCTAGCTCCAACGAATACAGCGATAAAATACCTTTACAAACATAAGCTTGAAATATTAGTGATTTTATATCAGTATCATATATTTTTTCCATGCGAAAATGTCGAGTTTTGAGCCGAATGAGCTTCATTTGCGGGAACCTTTGATTTATTTCTTTAATTCAAAGAAATCTGAAGCTGAGGAGCATCGATTGCTTGATGGTGAGGCTGCCTGAAGTAAAAGCAGTTGTCGTAAGCTGTTTCAAAAGTTTAAGAACTGTGAATTTGACATCGAAGACAAAGAACAGAGTGGAAGGATGAAACTGTACGACGACGAATAACTGTAAGAATTATTTGACGAAGCTTCATGTCAAACTCAAGTACAACTTACATTAGGAGTGACTCAACAAGCAATTTTACCTCATTTGAAATCATTGGGAATGGTTTAAAAGCAAGGAAATTGGGTTCCATCCGAACTGTAATCGAGAAATTTCGAAAGCTGATTTTTTACATTTGAAACGCTGTTTGCTAAGCATAAACGATAGGTTTTCTTTGTATTGGTACAGTCACTGGTGTTAAAACTGGATCCCCTACAATACCTCAAAAAAGAAGAAATCGTGAGGACCCCTGGTCATGCTTCAACATCGATAGCCAAGCCGAATTTCATGGAAAACGATTCTAATGCGTATGTGGTGGGATCAACTTGGTGTCATGTATTATGAGTTGCTCATACCGAACGAGGTCTTATTAGGAGTCTCGAACACAGTTGATGAGTGTGAGGCGAGCACTCAAAGGAAAATGCTCCCACTACTACTTTAGACAAGACGAAATTATTCTCCTGCATAACTCTCATCCACATGATGCGGCGCCAATCAAAACTTGCTTGCAAACACTCAAATTACCTCTCCCGCTACTCATCAGACATGCTCCCTCTGATTATTACCTGTTTCGACTGATGACGCATGTCCTGTCTGAGCAGCGCTTCACATTATGTGAAGATACCAAAAATTAGGTTTATTTGAAGATAGCCTAGAAAGATTAAGGGTTCTTTCGATGCAGTATCCGTATGCTGCTAGAAGCTGCTAGAAAGATGGTGAAAAGTAGTGACTAGCGATGGACAATACTTTAAATTAAACATAACGTACCGTTCTTTCACAATAAATGCCCTATTTTTGATAAAAAAAAAACCCACCGGAGACATATTTTTACTTCCTATAAATTTTTGTAAATCCCTCAATTTTTAGACGATTTACGATTATGATTATTTATATGATTTTAAAATGTCAACACCTAAAAATGTATCGGATAAATTTTCACAGATTATAAAACAAATTTTTCTCCCTATTTCGAAACAAGAATGATAAAAAATCTTAAATGGACGATTTTCTGAATTATAAAAAAATGTGTTGTTGTTGCTAATGCTTACTGGTCTGACCTATAGGCGGCCCATGCCCACGACATTTCTCGTGGCAAGGAGTGCAAGTTCACGCCTGTCATTGGTAACAGCCTTGAGCACCACGTGACAATGCTATTTAGCTCAATTCTGCCCCTAATTTTGATGGAGAGCATACCGGGGGACGGTATCGATGGTCTCTCATCCCTCTTCCCCTACCACCAACCTCTTGTGAGGACTTTCAGCTCGCCGTATATTTAGAGTACCCCCATGCCACACGGCCACTATACATTTACAAGCATCCATGCCTTCTCCGGGATTCGAAACCGAGCCCTTCGGCACGGCAGTCAGCGACGCTAACTACTATACCGGTTGAGCTGCAAAAAAAGAGATGTGTTGCAGCCGGATCAGAAAGCGTTTTGAATTTGCCATATTGGCGCACTTAATGACGAAGTTTGCCATGCTGGCACATTGAATGACGAATTGAAGATATTCTTTTTTTTTTTTTTTTTTTCCATTTCAGCTTCAAATAAAATGTTTATTGTAATATTGATATTATATCCAATTTCCGAAACTGAGTATTCAAGCAATTTCTTCATTCTGTGAATGCCGTTCAGTTATTTTTCTTTATATCATAATTTTCTTATAATTTATTTCTGATGTTTTAATAATGTCTAAAATTTTCATCATTGATAAGATGTAACTCAGACTAGAGAATAGAAAATGAAATATCATAAAAAACGTTTTTTTACAATAAGCTTTTATTTAAAAAGAATATGATAATTAACGCACTAAAACGGTAAAAACGATTTATCTTATTAGCCATTTTAATGGTGATCTTAATTTAAAAAATTCTATTTACAGAATTTATCTGCAATTTTATATGGCAAACAATAAGAACGTGGAGCGCTAAATAACAAAATTTGTTTAATTGATTCTATTATCAGATAGATGCATTCGCCATTACGTTTTAAATTTATAATAAGCGCCATGCGTTTTTATAATTCGCGCTATAAAATAGTAAATGAATTCTGTAAATAGAATTATTTAATCTATTATTCCCATTAAACTATATGATAAATTATTTTTCTTATGTTAGTGCATTTATTATCATAGTCGTTTTAAATAAAAGTTTAGTGTATTAAAAAGGTTTTTTAATTGCATTTTTAAATATTTTTATTCCATTTCTTGAAGAGGAATCAGCACTTTTAGCTACAAATATAATTACTTACTATCTTATCCTTATAATTCTCGGCGAACCAAAGCGCAGCTGATGGACCAATCACAAGTGGGTCTTTGTTCAACCATCCGTAAAATGCGCTTTGATAGTAGTATATAGATTCGTCAATGTCCCATGTCTGACAGTTTGTAGCTGTTAAAATAGTTATTTAAATTTTTGTGACTTTTATCATAAAAAACAACCATATAACTAAATCAAAATCATTTAATGAGCATTACTATATAGAACTAATAAAGCAAATTATTAAAAAATGATAGTCATGATGTTTGTACATCAGGCTGGAGACCTTATTTATTTAAATATTTATCCTAAGCACATGCTGTCGCTGAAAGAGGTGGTGTGTTTTTTTTAAATGACGTAACTAAGTTTTATAAAAACAAAAAGCTTCAAAACTGTGGTAACAGGGTTTCTGGAAAGTATAGTTTAACATTTTATGTTATGCCTTGGAGAAAATATTTCGTCTAATAAAATACGCAATATGCTTGAATCAGTTAGAAATTATGTTCTGCACAATCGTACGAGGAAATGGTTATAATAAATAAAGCAATGCCGTCGCTCTCAGTAAGTAAGTTGGTATGCTGTTCTTCTGAGAATGAAAAATATTATTAATCTTTATCTTAAACTATTGTAACTGCAACCTGAAACTAAAAAGTCACGCAATCCTACTAGACAGATAGGGAGTTATTGCTGTGTTCTTATACACTCTCTTATACACTCACAAATTACTGAAGAAGGTTTGAAGTAACCTTTTAGGCTTCAGCTGAGCGTAAAGGCACAACTTGAGCTGCAGATGAAACCACCACTTGTAGCTAACAGAGAATTAAATTCAAGCGCATTGATAAAAACATTGATACAGTAGTCTTGCACTATGCATATAAGAGAATAAACGGGATGAAGATGCTTTTTGCCAGTCCACAGTTTAACTCATCGGCTAGCGAGAATGCTTTAACCAAAATATCAGTTTAAAGCATTGCTGACGAGGATTACTAACACAAATAAAACATAGATTACAGACGCAATCTCCAAAAGCACTCTGAACTAAGATTCTGAACGCTCAGCTTAAATGCATTCAAAGCTGATTTGCATTCTAATGAGGTATAGGGAAAAAAGAAATTGTAGTAAAGATTAAATCATAATAACCCATTAATTAACACAATATGCTTTATGAATAAAAGCATCTTCGTCATTTCAAACACTTTGAATTTCATAGATACTAGTTACTAGTTTACCATAATATTTCTATGTTTTAAATTGCAGTTTAAAATAACATCCTCATAATGATTTTAATAACGTATTTTTTCGTTTATAAGCCACACCTACGTTTTACAAAAACCAGATGAAAATTAGGAATTCAGCTTATATATCCGAATGATTATACAAAAATGTGACAACACATCGGCGCGTACTACACACCAGCACGTATTTAATGATTGAGTATAAAATACGTTTTTTTAACAGGTACCAGCGATAGTGGTACTGGTAGTGCAAGTAACTACTCTAGTGGTACCGACATTAAATAAGAAATGCCTACACTCAGAAATATGTTCCTTTTAACCGATAACAAAAATTTTAGTCTCAGTGTGTGGTAAGGACTGTTTTCATTTTTTAGCTGCTTTTACACCTCCAAACAAGAAATTATTGTAGACGGTAGATAGGCTATTCACAGCTTATCCTCAAAAATATTTTTCTTTCTTTTTATTTGAGATTAAAATTAAGAATGTATTTTATACAAGAGTGTGGCATATATTCGCGAGAATACGGTATTTAGCATGGCCCTAACTTCCAATTTAGCTATTAAGGACTTTTGCTGCTACTCCAAAATTAATAAGTCCCGTATAAAACACTTCTCAGTGTAAGTTGAAACTGTGTCGTCTGTTGAATACTTCTATGGAACATCATCTTCAATACTGTACCACAATACTGGAAAACTGCTAACCTTATTGCCAATTATACAACATATTCATTGCTCCAAAACATTACTCATCGCCGATTGAACGTTTCCTTGCTGTATATCACATTAGTCGCTGCTATACCGCACGCGTGCCTTATGTCAGTAATGGGCCATATCACACAATGACGTTGTAACTTACAAAAAATCACTTTTCCCAATTTATGGGTGACAATACTAGGAGAGTGCTAGCCGCATTTTACACTTCTTCTCTTCTATACTGGCAATTGCAGGTGATTGCAAAATATTATGCTTCGCACTTGCTTTATTCACATGTTTGACCACCCTTGAAAATTTCTCTAAGTTCCTAATCTAACTGAATAATAATGAAATTACTTTATTAAATGCATAGAAATACTTACCGTTAACCTCCAGTATTTCATTTGTTTCATTATAGTAGTAAACTGATTGCCTGAGACCCATAATCAAAAGATTCATCGATCCTCGTCCTTGAGTGCTGTCGAAGTATTCTGTGCCGAAAGCTGTAGCTTGCTGAAAGAAGAAAAATTATCTATTTCCTCCATGCTAAATGCAATGTATTTTTTATTACTGAATTTATCACCGGGTGTTTCGTATTCTCTTTTATTTAGCGTTTTTAATTCTACCTGTTCTTCTAATCTATTTCTAATTAAAATTTTTGTTATTTCACGAATTTGAATTTATAATATTAATATATTTTAACTAGTTTATACACTTTAATTTGGAGTTTTCTTGCCTCGTTATTTTTTCCATTTAATTTATTCAGAATTATTGATATAAATATTTAAATACGAGTAAAAACAAATTGAAAAAAGAGGTCAATGTTTATTTATCTAACTTATTATTTTATGTTGGGATGCTTCTCTTATCTATCATTTTTATTTACTTAATTTCATCTCAGAATGCAATTATTTCTTTGGATTTTGCTAATTTGAATAATAGCTAATGACTTAACGAGGTAGAGAAATGTATACAAAACTTACTTGTTCTTCATTTGTTACTTGAACTTCTGTCTGGTAAAATTCAACCATAAAATCTTTGATGTGAGGAAATGGTGGATCTATTAAAAAAATTTAACAAAATGAGATATTTTAAATCTGTTTTATCAAAAGTAATCATAAAATATAATTAATTATGCTTAAAATCATAGATATTTTAAAGACATTTTACCTTTTGTCCTTTTCTTTCCTTTCCAATGTTTAAATAGTCTTAAATAGTCATAGTGTGAATAAATAAACATTCGCTCCAATTCAACTTTCGGTATGAAAAGAGAAAGTGGGATGATTTTTAATTCTGCACTCTATATTGTTGCGTTCTTGTACGGGTTCGTGAAGTTGGAGTTATTAACAGTAACACTTGATGAAGAATTAAAATATAATTTATTAGCCAATATTATTCAGGACAGTTCCAAAAACACGTTTACAGTCGTCGAAAACTACGACAAGCACACTGAAACAATCAGCAACATAGACTTCAGGATATCAGGCTATAACTGTGGAGACAGCTTCACGGCAAAGCACCAGAGTACAACTCCCGACTCGATTAAGTCGTTCTTGGAACTCTACATACTCTCGAGACTCTTCACGCTACAACTCGAGATGCACTCTACGATAAGCAATCGATAGCCTCAACGATGCACGCTCTCGATGCACCAACTCGCGATACAGTGACGAGGCACCTCGACTCTAGATTGACGATCAACTCGACTGCGAGACACTCAATAGACTCACTAGACTGAGTGTCCGTGCATCAGCAAGGTTTATATAGCTTTTGGCTTGCGTTCGAGAACATTCTGGGCCTAACTGGTAAGAATTCGTTCCAGAAGGTACTCCATCCGTCTATGCATATCACAAATTTTGTCGCCAACTGGGCATATTTCTCGCCAAATACGGCACTTATGGCTTCCCTTGCCATTTTCTGGCAATCCTAAAACCGCCTTGCTGGGAAGCTATCTTACCGCCGCTAGACATTTCCCGTAACATTATCTCTGTTATTACATAATGAGGAATTTGTATGTATGTTTGTATGATCCTCGCATTGTTGAAAAACGACAGCACCTAGGCGCTATCGAATTTTTAACACAAGTAGCCCACGTGCACCTCGAAACTAAAATTTTGAATTTCGAAGTTGTTGCTGACTTATTTTATTTTCGTATGCATTTAATTAATTTTTTATTAATAAATTCAAATACTTGAAAATGTGCAGGAGCCACACTGTACGAAGTAAAACATTTTAATATCAAAAACAAGAGACTGAATGTAAGATATTTAATGCATATTTGTATTTTCCACGCATTGCTGAAACTTGGAGACATCTCAAAGAGTTACAAAATTTTGAACGTACGTACTTCTCCGCCCAAAACTGAACACCTCGAAGCCCTAATTTGAATTTCGAATTTGTTTTTGATTTATTTTTTATTTTGTACGAATTTAATGAATTTTTTTATAATTCAGTAATCTGAAAGCGAGCAGTGGCAATATTGTTCGAATACCCAAATTTTCATCTCCAGCCCGCGAGACTATTATCTTTCCGCAATCAACAAACTCCGGTATTTAAAATCAGTGTGTTGCAACTGCCTGAAATAAAATATTTTTATATGCCATTCATCACCGTATTGTTATTCAGCAAAGCGTAAGATTTTTATTATTATATATTATAACAGAAAAATATAACTTTTCTGCGATAGTATAGCAGACTAACAGATTTAAAAGAAATAAACCCAGTTCTTAAAAATATATTTCTACTTTTTTAACTAATTGATTTAAATAAGGATTAATTTAAAAAATAAGATATCTAACTAAAAGTATAATTTTTTTTTATAAAATTACACTAGTTGGAGTAACTACACTTTCCTTAAACGAACCTTTCTCATCATCAGAATTTACCAAAACCAGAGCGATTCGCGTTGTGCAAAGCAGGAAGTTTGACTTATCTACGAGCACAGAAAAGTGTAGCGGTATGGGGCGCATCCTTACCATAAAAGTCAGATTAGAGCTTCCTTCAGTTCTGACGTCGCAGCTAATTCGATATAAACATTTTAGTAGAACTGTCGCATTTTATGTTACACAAATACCGATTTATGACACTTTTTTATTAGTTAAATTGGAATACAATTTAAATCAGGTTTGAACACATATTTCAATAATCTTAATGAACTGGAAAGCCGAAGGAATTTATAAGCCATTCTGAAATTAATTAGTTTTATATAGTAATTGATGTCTATGAATTTGAATTAGACTAATATATTATTTTAATTTTCAATAAATTTATAAATTTAAATTTTACAGTTTTTTGGCAATTGAAAGTAAATGGTATTGTTTTTACCGCATTATGCAATTAATATCCGAAAATATATCAATCCTATCAAAAGAGGAAATTTTTGCCTTTTCAGACTGAATAAAATCTTCCGGTCATCTTCCAGTGGCTAAAGTGTCCTACCTTAATTAAGTAACTATGAATAAATGTTATTAGAAAAACACTTTTCCGTTTGAAAACAAAGAACGATTAAAAACCTTTTTGAGTGAATCACACATTTCATACTACGAGAATACAACTTTATATTAGCTGGAATGTAAAAAATCAGAATGGTAGATATATTTTTAATCTATTTTTATTCTTTCGCATCTAAGCAGATGTTACTGTTTCCTTTAAAAAAATACATCTTTTTCAGAAATTCGTGATTTCTATCCCACCAACATGAGTAGTGCTTCCAATCCGTGCACCGTAAGTGATGTATAATAACCATCTATAACAGTGTGCATTCTTGTTGTGACGTCTGAAAAAGCTGGGACAGTAGAATTGAAGGAAGCTTTTCTTTATATATACATTGCTAAAGGATATATAATCATGGACGCAAATAAAGATTATTTTTTTAAATATATTAAAATATTATAGCATTTTCAGTATTATCTTTCAACGTGTAGCTTATGTGAAAGTGCAAATATAGATAATATATTGTGATCAAACAGTAAATGTACACTAATATAATGTAACTCCCCTTTAGAGAAAAGAATTTTTGAAGGGGTTCAGATTTAAAATTTCACCTAAAGGGGCACTTTTGAAGTTTAATGTGGTTTATCAGTAGAAGTTATCGATAGAGATAGTCCAGGTGGAATAGCGAAATATTTTGTAGGATATTAGATAAATATGCATTTAGACTAACAGGGGAATGCTATCTTCTGTATATTTAAAAAGTGAAAAACTATGTAATGTAATTCTATAAAAATATTTAATCTTTTTAGTTAGACATATCATGAATTAAATGCATTCTTATTGAAATCAATCAGATTTAAAATTTAAAAAATAGTATTCTAAAGAATTATATGCATTGCTTTTAAATAGCTTAGTTTTATAATCACTAATAAACAGATTAATTATGAAAGATAAATATCTTATATTTTTCCGCGTTGCAACAGACTCGAATATAAAGAAAAAAAAAAAAAAACACAAATCATGTTTTGAGATTAATAGCCATTTTGGGCTAAAATATATTTAAAAAGAAAAATTACGTAATATAATTCTATAAAAATATTTAATGTTTTTAATTAGATATGTCATTTTTCTTCAACTGAGTCGAATTCAAAAGTAAAAGAATCCTGTTTAAGGTTCTAGATTGTGTGTCCTGTTTATCCTTTCCTTAAGAACTGCATCTATTGCTTTTAAATAGTTCAGTTTCTTCATCAATTTTCGCTTCAGTTTGAGTGATTCTGCTGGAATAGCAAAAGGCACTTTTAACTGTTTAAAAGTTGTTTCCTAATGCATTTCTGATTATCATCTTTGAAATGAGATTAATTTTTATTGCCTTTGTTTAACATATAAGGAAAATGTTATTCAAAAACTTTATATTTCATGCATACCTATATCGAACAAGTACACAAAATTATACAACAGTTACTTAGCACCCAAAATATAATTACAATATCAAGTCAGCTCTTCATAAATGATTCCTCTTTTTTATTCTGTTTCTGCGGATTACTATTCCTAAATGATAAATAAATGGCTAGTTGACATAGCAACCGCTAAAATTCAGAAAGGTCAACAACAGCAAAATATAATAATGTAAAGAATGTTAGAATATTTTATAGATCTGAAGCACAAATAATTCCGCAACAATTATTATTTACATACAGTGGCACATATTTGTTTTCGGAAAATTGTATTTTTGAAATTTATTTGCATAGATCTTGTACTAAATACTGAAACACAGATCCAACGTTTTTTCTAACACTGAATTTTTTGTCTATTTTAAGTCTTTCTTGTTACAAAGTAAATATCGTCAAAATATTCCTTGTAATAAAATAATTTATTCAAAACATAACATATTAGTCGACAACACACATAATAATTTGGCCAATCGAAACTTAGGTTGAGATGCTTCGGCATATGAAGATTTTTGTCATAATTTTATTGTTTTAAATGGAAATACATCACAAGAATTATCGTCTGCAATTGGATATTATTACTCGTTTAGCAAACTATATTAACAGTTCCATATCTGAGGTGAGCACAGTAAGGCGTTACAAACTAGCGACAAATTCTCCTCGAAATTTATCTATTCGTTATTCCAAAAATCGTAAAAGTATTTGGAATATCCGAAACAAACCTTGATGTAAAGTGTTCGACTACCTTTGATGTTATTAAACGATGGATATTACATTGAAAATACGCTGAAGTCTGGACCACATTACAAGCTAATATGATGAGTCGAAACTTTATTCTATGAAAAATAAAATAAAACCGAAATATTAATGCTTCGAATCTTACACTGGATTTAGTAGATTATTTTAAAGTTAATCCCAAACTGTAGAAAAGCCGATACAGCATATGGATGCAATGGGCGATCAGCAAAAAATAAAATCATCATCAACAAGAAAAACGATGAAAATACGCCTGGCGTTCACAAATTCCTTCGTAAGCTAATGTTTATTATATTGAAATAATATTATATTTGCACACAACTCAAAATTTACTATATTTGAGTGCGATGCACAAATTATTGTGTGGAGAAACCCGAGTAAAAAACTGAATCAGAGAAACTTATTGACTAAGCATAATGATGGCATAATACTCGTAGTTTAGAGATATTTCGCTGCCTCTGGGATGGGAAATATAATTTTATAGAAAATTATATGAATAAATATAAATATACAAAATTCTTAAGGAAAACCTGAAAGCATGTGCAAGAAAACTTGGAATTGAAAATTCATTGAAGTTCTGTCTGAATAATGATTTTAAACATAGCCTTAAAAGTTCACTTGTGGTTATTATATAACCGCTTTGAAGTTGTCAGAACTTCTCCAAATTCTCTTTATTTGAATGCTATCAAGCATATACTGTATCAGTTAGAGAAAGAATAGGGAAGCATGATATTTTCGAAAGCTCAACTAAAAGCAGTTTCTAGAGAGAAATAATACAATACAGGGCGTTCTTATCAATTATTATTAAAATTATTCGAATCCATGCAAAGTGCATGGAAAGAGGAATTTTAGCTAAAGGATATCCTTTAGCTAAAATACTTAACGTTCCATTATTTTAGTGTTTTTATTAAATATAAATTGTTTGTTCAAAGTGTCCAAATACTTTTTTCTTTGTAAGAGAGTTCTGCGACAAAATCGAGGAGTGCTTATATAACGTAATTGATTAATTTAATTGCGCTGTCAGATACATAAACCACCACCTTTTTAAATTTTCTAATAATTTAATTGCCTAATCGAATGTATAAGCCATTATCTATTTAAGTTTATCGGGGATGCCCCACGCTTTTCAATTGCAGATGAATTCTGTATTTAAAATTATTTACTCTATTATTCCCATTAAATTATAAGATTAGTTGTGTTTTCTTTTAGTGCTTTAATTATCATATCCATTTTCGATAAAATGTTATTGTATATAAACCTTTTTTAAGTTACATTTTGTGTAATTTGCAAAACATCTGTGCACTTTTATCTAGCTTAACCAATTTGCTTATCTCTTCTCACTGCAAGAAATTATAGAGTTCATAAAACATTCTTCCCTATATCATAAGGAGAAACTTTGAATACTTATAAAAGAATGTGGTAATTTAATATTGCTTGCTAAGACCAATCCCATCGATAACTTTTATGTTCTAGAAATTTATATTTTTTCTATCATACATATTTTTACAAACACAAAGCATACTACTCACAGTTTAACAGTTATGAGTTACTTCTTAGGGCACCAGTTTCATACATATCAAAGTTTCTAAAATATTGGTAATTAAAAGTATTATGTTTAAGTACTTACCAGCTGCATAACTAGAAACGATGAAAACTAAGAAGACGCTAACTATCCTGTTGAATTGAGGCGCCATGTCGAATGTTTCGACACCTGCAAAAAGTTCCGTATTAATCAAATTTGAACCAAAATCGAGCAAAATATATACCAATATAACAGGGTATTTATTTTGAATGTGACAAAAAGAATAGCATAGTACAAATTGTATAATAGATTTATTAAGCTAAAATAAATTAATTCTGAAACTACTGTTATACAATCTGGCGAAATTCTTCCGATTGCAAAATCACCTCTAGAGGCATTGTTAATCAAAATGGCGCCGTCCATGCAGGAGAAAGCGTACTGTGTTTTGGAATACGCCAAAACATCACCGTTTACTGCCGTTTAAAGACATTTTCGTTCGAAATTCAATAAAGATCCACCGGATCATCACAACATCTAACGGTGGGTGATTCAATTTTGGGACATGGGGCCTTTTGTATAAGAAAACCAGTTCAGAATGAACAGCAGGCCAAAGCGAAATGGTTGAAAAAAATTTTTGGAACGTTTTTACGAAATCTTACAAAATCAACGCGTTATGCGAGTTCTGAACTCAGTGTGCCTTATGTAACGATATGGCTTGGGTTAGGTGTTAAAAATTTCCAACAAACCTTTGTGTGAAACTTTCCACTAGAATTTGCAAGATAAGCTGGAGATATATGGTTTTCGAACAAACTTTTGTTTACGAAGGAAGCCACTTTTCACGTTTCTGGCAAAGTTAGTCATCATAATTTACGATTTTGAGTAGAAATTCCACATGGTGTAATGGAACATGAGCGTTATTCTCCAAAGATGAAAGTTTTCTGCGCCATTTCTAACAATTGTGTTTTTGTCCTTTCTTCTTAGTGGAAAAAATCGGTTAACGGGTGCATTTACCAAGATATGTCATCAGTGTGGTTATTCTTAAACTGAGGAAGCGATTTCCGACTTCATTCTGCAGAAAGACCGTGCTCCACCATACTGACACAAAAATGTATGCCAGTACCTGAATGATTGTCTACCCCAGTGGTGGAGTGGACGTTCTGGGACAAACGCTACGACATTCGAACACCGAGATACCTAGATCCCTCGTAATTTTGTTATGGGTGTTGTTAAAGACAAAGAAAGTGTTTGTGCCTCCAATTTCCCCAGCATTTACAACAAGTGAAGCAGCTGATAACTTAAGTGCTCGAATCATTAACAAAGGATATTCTATCACGAGTGTGGTAACTGGATGTTTGCGAGTGTCATTGGAGGGACACACATAGAGCATCTATAGAAGCTTGGATAACTGTAGTTTCACTGTTTATCAAAATAACTTAATTACAGCATTCACGGGTATGCTTTTTGTCCCATTCAATATGAAACAACCTGTACACATAGTGTATAGAAAATACTCACTTATCATCAGTTTAACCAGCATCATACTTAATTTTTTTTTTCACAATGAAATATGAAATAGAGAAATATAATTAAAAGTAGGCCCTATTTTACTGCTATAATAAGTTTAGCTATTTGTATGAGAATAATAAAACTTTTAACTAATCCTCTGCCAGGAATGGCAGATATTATATTATTTTTTAAAGAATACTTTTTGAAATTGGCAACAATGAAAGTGCAATAATTCAAAAGAATTAATAGTCAGCTCCATTTCCTTTTTTATGTGTTGATGCAGAGTAAAGTTCGCGTGCTAATTTTAATTGCATATTTATTATATGAAAGTGTTAATTTATTATATTAGTTGAAGTAGATGTCGATTCCACAGATTTATAACAAAGCTTTTGTATAGTGTTAAGATAAGATTAATTTTCTGAAAATATTCGAAATTTCTAACTTTTAAAATATTTTAAGCTAGGATTCAAATGTACTCTAGAGAGAGGTTTGGGGACAAGCGCCTATGTAATGTTTTGAGAAGGAATATTAAATATCGTAATAATTGTAAAGTCTCGATTATAAGTTATCCGTGATTGCGTCATGCAGATTATCCTTTGCCGATATTTCTTATGCTTCATTCGAAAGATATCAAATAATAATAATAATAATAATTACATAAATAATGTTAAAAATAAAATGCCAGTTTCTTTGCTTTTTACTTAACTAATAACTTTTAGGCAAGAAATCAAGTGGCTCATTACTGCTGGAATTTTATTTTGCGATAGATAAGGCTAATGGAGTTGGTAATGTTACCTTTATTTGTCAAAGTGCATTTACAGTGACATTATGCAGACGATCCCTAAAATGGTCGTAGATTCTCAATGTCGTTCGAAGATTTGACTTGTGTAATGCATCTAGGTTATTTTTTTTAAGTCTTTCGCAAGAATAAGCGCTTTAAAAGACGTTTTTGAAAAGACACTTTTAAAAATTAAACAAACACTGGTTTAAAGTAATATCGGAACTTGTTGAAATCATTTCTGATTTTCAGGACTTCCAGAATGCATTAAAGGAAGATTAGCAAAATGATCGCAAAGAGTCAAAAACAATGAAGACCAAAGGATTTTACTAGGCTGTATGCAATAAATTAGAAGATGGAAAAGATGAACCAGATAGGATTATACATTAGGCAGATATGCTGTTAAACCATGTAGGTCAATTAACTGAATTTAAGTTTACTAATACTTTTGCACAGTATTCGCCATGCCATCCAAAAAAATGTAACATTTAAACATATAATAAATATTTTTAGGAGAAAAACTACTTAAATTTTGTAATTATTTTATTTAATCCTATGGTGTTTAATTAAAATAAAATGTTTCCTAAGGAAGAAACTTGGAGAAAGAGTACAACAAATTTCGGTTCTAATGTAAAATAGGGTGCCTTTTGATTTGGCGCCAAATACCGACGCTATTCTCCATTTTATAGTAACCCAGAATTGACTCTTTCCCCAGAGTTATGGCAGCCTTTTTGGGGGGATTAAGTGCCAATGCTTTTCTTAGGCTTAAACTGACTGAAACTTCTTCATTAAGTGACTGGGGGATTATTTTCACGTACTACAAATCAAGTATTTATAATTTTGACCATATTTTGAATTATTAGAATTTTAATTGGGTTAATTGACCTTTGATTTTCGTTTGTTGGCTGGTTCTAATTAATCCTTGTCCCGTCACTTCGACTAAGAAGTATGTCTGGCAAGATAAATACTCGGTTTTTCTGCATGACTTAGAGCGAAAGGGTAAAATAGTTCTAATTGATTTGGTATATGAATGAAAATTTGATTAGTTTTCGCTACGAATGTCAAGCTTGTAGGAAAGATATGTGTATGGTCGAGTTTAAGAATCAACCGAATGGTTATGAGTAGGTTTATCGCGAGAAAGGTACTTGAAACTGGTGCCATGCCAACGCCACCGAGGATATGTGGAGCCACATTAAGCGCGAGTTTCGCAAGCGGGATCTTCGGCAGTCGTCGGATGACATTTTATATTCCTACTTTGCGGAGTTACCAATCTCGGGATCAGAAGCAGGAGGATCGATTCTGGGACTATATTGATTAGCATTACGTAATATGTGTGACAGTCATTCGACTCTGACGATGAGATATAGCCAAGAACACAAGTTTAGATAAGTATTTTTGTTGTTTTTGTAACATACGTTTGCGGCGTTCTTCTAGATAACATCCTATCTCCGAAATATTGCTTTCTTGGTTCCGTTCTTGGCGTCATAAAAACCGCCAAAAATATCAAGAGCACCCTATTGTAAACTTTTGCCCAAATTATCCCATAATTCTCAAACGAAAGAGCTGAAATTTGGTACAAGATAACTAAAACTATTATTCTTTGTTTTGCTAACAAATGTAGAAATAATTCTGATTTAATTTGCGGAATACTTGTATTGAAAACTATGAATCTGCTAGTTCTTGACCAGTCTATTATAATATTTGATGATTTCAAGGTAAGCCATTATCCTTTAGTGCCAGAACAAGTCAACAAAAGATATGCTATTTAGCTGTAGTTCAGGGAGATCACAAAGTTTATTTTATCATGTTTTTACTTCCTTGTACGAAGTAAAAAGGATGTATTGTTAATCGCGAAAAGTTTCAGGCAGCATATTTCAGCGAAAATATCTATTTTGACAGCTATCGAATGCAATTTAATGAAGTTTTTGCGTGATATCTATACATAAGAACACAATAAAAGACTCTTTTCCTCCAAAAAAATTACAAAACTGCTTTAAAACGAATTCTGAAGAGAAAGTTTCGTGGCATCTGTACGAACGTATGTACGTACGTACGTACGTATCTCGCATAATTCAAAAACGAGTAGCCTCAGAACCTTGAAATTTTGTATATAGGACTGCTATAACATGTAGATGTGCACCTCGTATTTTGGTTGCAATCGGCTGCACCAAACCTATATAAATATATTTATATATATATCCACTCTGTTACCCGGCTCAGTGATCTCAGTTTCTTTACTCTTATATGTTTGTAAGATGTGCATTTTTTGCTTTAAAAATGATTGAATTATGTTGTTCTTATCTTCCGGTTAAGGTTTTTATGCCTTTAATAAATCTGTATACAATATTTTTAGAATTATCAACAATTTTAAAGTTGTTTAAGTGCTGCTAAGCCTAACATTTTTTTTTATGGCGGCCATTGCTTGTTTACATTTGAAACAGCAGGATAATGGATTTGTTGCCAATCTAGAGAAACTAAGCTTCGCAACAACAAAGATAACGCCTTCATTTATTATTGCGAATTAAATCATGCTTAATCCTTTCTGATATTTTTTCCAGGAAATAAATGTTTAAGATTTACTTCGTAATTTTTAATACAGATATTTTGAGTTTTTATGTATTTTTGCCTTGTCGCAAAGTGAGAACTGAATTAATTGAATGAGAAATACTGAATCGTCTATGAAAAACTGTTTCTTTTTTGTTTTGTGTGCTTAAATTCTTTCATACATCGTTCTAGCTTTATTATATTATTTGAATAGAACATATGGCAACGATTAGATAATTCTTTAAATGATATAAATTTTGTGCATTCAGAGTTATAATATGAACTAAATATAATATAATGCTGTTATTTGAACCTAGCGCCAGAATGTCGCTATGGTAAACAAATAGAGTGAATTTTAAAGAATGAATTTATTTTATTGTGGTTCATGCGCTGTCGAAGTAGATTTAATTCATTCCAATAAGTTTAAATGAAATGCAAGAAAAAATGCGTATAATTTAATATTCCGTACAAGGAAGTCATGTGGTGTACACATCAGATTTTTTATTTCAGTAAACCTTTAACTTAGAAACGGTCCTAGGGCAGAAATGACATTTGCTCAACTTTGATAGCATTTACTCATTTCGCGTGAATTATTATGCACACTACTCTATTTGGTTCTATAATGTATTTCTCGTTATGAATTATCAAATGATACTCTAAATGATAATCTTTTATTCCGCTTTTGTTTCAGATGGAACGAAATAATATTAGAAATATACAAATATATAGCGAAATGGGCTATTCAAGCTTACCCTTGTTTGCCCATATTATTAAGTGTACTACTCTTCGATTTTATTATAAGGCATTTCCCCGCCTTCTTCGCATGCCTTCGCGGTTTTGTGGTCTGCACGCTCAGCGCGTAATTAAGAGGTCCACAAATCGATTGCCGCCGAAGGCATTGCTAATTTTTCATTTCTCCTGCTTCCAAAAATATACCTAATGTCTCTACAGTGGCGCCCGAACTAAAAGGGTGCTGGATGATGATTCTCCTCACCCAGCATTGGGTTTCCTAAAAACCCCAGCCGCCCTATAAAAGGGGGAGTATATAAGATATTTCTCCGCCTTCTTCGCGTGCCTTAGTGGTGTAGTGGTCTGCATGCTCAATGCGTAATTGAGAATCCGCGGTTCGATTCCCGGCGAAGGCGTTGCTAACTTTTCTCCTGCTTCCAAAAATATACCTAATGTCTCTATTCGTAATGAATTATCAAGTAATACCGTAAACGGTTTTTTTAACTCCGTTTCTGTGTCAGATATACGAAATAATATTAGAAATATACGAATACAGAGGGGAATGAGCTGTTCAAGTTATCAATAACGCTACAGGATTTATTATCATCGGGCAAATAGAATATCTGAAAGCTGCAAATTAGTTTAATGTTCCATAATCAGCTTGAAAAAGATACGAAAAAAAAAGAAAAAAAAAAAAATCCTTGGTATCAGGTAAGATAAAATGAATGGGGAAAATCACAGTATTACCCCGTTCTGCTTTACAGAATGAGGTAAAAAAGATTATGCTTCCAAATCTAAGATCAGTGCTGCCTTTGTCAGAACACATCCCTCCCCAAATAAGTGGAATATTATAGATGCAAATTGCAAATGGGGTGGCGATTACATTAGGAATAAATTGCATGCTACAAAAAAAAAAAAAAAAAAAAAAAAAAAATGCTATAATAATACTAAGATGGCCCTTCCTTTTAAAGGCCGTTTTAGATTTCTGTGAAAATGGTCGTCTTAGAGAGCCTGTTTGTCACCAGTGTTTAATACTTTTATGTAATTGCGTTCTAACAGAAGACCATTAATTAACTGCTGTTATTAAATTATGACAAAGATTGATGTAATTTAATTATGACGTAGTCCCAAGAAGATCATCCCTTTTAGAGATGGTCGTCTTGGGAAGGTCTAACGAGAGGTTTTACTGCAATTAATATGCCATAAAAAATAGAAAAATATTACTAATTAAAATCACTTAGTTAAAATAGCTATAATCGTAGGTATTTTAATAATGTGACAAACATACTATTGCACGTTTCTTTAAATACCTCTCCGAAAATCACGAGCACTTTATAAGTGTAGCTTAGCATTAAACAATAATATATATATTAATTTAATTCTTATTCCTCAGTTTTGACATTAAAAGTAAGATAATTTTAAGTTTCACCTCAAAATGTGATATTTAGACAATTTAATTATATTTCTTGAAAAGCATTTTTATCATATCAAACTTACATATGTGACAACGTCTCACATATAAGACAGCATTTTTTTTTTTTTTTTTTTTTTTTTTTTTTTTTTTTTAAGAAAAACCTTTGAAAATATAAGATCAGCTTATTTGTAGCTGAAATATAAGATATTCTTTCGTATTCGGTGGAATAATATAATATTTAATTATCTTTTCTCTATCGTGTAATGTATTAATAATATAGTATACAGTATACCACATTTTAATTAGAGAAAAATAATAATCATGCAGAAAACCTTTGCCCAGGGCGCATTTGCAGAATGCTATTTCGCATATACGCGTTATCTTATTTGTTTGTATTGAATTTGTACAATACTTTAATTTCATTCATGTCCACCTCAACTTTCTATAGCCAACATTGAATGATTGCTGGCATCATCTCTGGCCAGAAGCAAACAATTTTAAAGGGTTTCTTTTAATTGAAAACGTATGAAAACAAATGATAGATAGCAACAGCAAATGGATGCGAAGGATTTTCAAATACAAAAGAAGGAGACATCAAAGAATTAATCAAGAAATTACGAATGAAGAATTAATTGATCTTATAACACCAGCCCACAGTGAAAGCAGTGAAAATGAAAAAGAGTATAGCCCCTTTCTTGCAAGAAAATAAACGGTCTGTTAAACAAGGCACAGGAACTGTCTATTCTGCAAAGATGAAGAAATAAGGCACATTATGAGAGACACTGAAAAACTCCTTCCTCCTCATCGCCCGAAACTTTTGAGTTCATTCATTGTCCCAAGCAAAAATCAGCAGCCTTTTAAAAATTAATCGTATCACGTTCTTTATTAAGCAGTAATGAAAATCCTTTCAGTTAATGTTTATTTTGTTTATTTCTTTCAATTACAGCAATATTTAGGCTTGTGTAAATTATATATATATATATATATATATATATTAGATTATATTTGAATTTATACCTAACAGATTTTTTTCCGCAGAAAGTTACTTTTTCGGAATGCGGAATTTCCATATGCCCTATACATTAATAATGTCACCTCCGCATTCGGCAAGGGTTTACTGTATAACACAAAAATAATTAATATAGTTTACCGCGTTTTTAATTAGGGAATAAGAACAATAAAAATAATAACAGAATGCAAAAATAATTAAGTTGCAGAGTATTGAAATTATTTAGCGATTGAATTTAAGGTAAATGAATATATAATAAAATAGTTTCCATACCTCTGAAACCAACTAAGAGCGGAATTTATTAAGCACTGGAATTCAGGTCCGTTACTCGTGGAGCACCCGGAACCGAGTAGAAGTCCAGTGAAATTTTTTTCGTAACCTAATGATCCTCCCACCTCCAGAAATGTTGCGGACTTTGATTCCTGCCCCTCTTCATGTTTTTATGTTCATTGTCTTCAATTTTAATAGAGCTATCTTATTAAATTGATAATAACGACCGCGGATGGAAACAGCATTGTCTGAACGCTGTTTACGAGATAAGAGATGATTCTTTGCTATTGTATCGCCTATTGTAAAGAAAACTGTAATGAATTTTGGCTTGGGCTGAAAAGGTATATGATAATGATAGCTTATCAATGCGATTGTGATTACTGATAATTTTAAATATTTGGAGATTCAATGTATTATGAAAAAAGGGGTAAAGCGATTTTGCTGAATGTTTTAACTGATATATGAAATATCCATTTCACTGGAATACTTTTTTATTCATTCAAATATAAGCTATGTTTTTCGAATGTGAAAATGAATAACTAATTAAGAATAAAATACGAATACATTTTAACCCTTTTTCCCTTTTTACCGGCTTGAAAGTAGATGCAGTGAATATTTTCAACAAGTAAATGTTATATCAAGATAAGGTCAGTCAATTAAAGTTAAATTAATCGAATTCTTTTAATCGATAGAACTTAACCTGAACTTTATTAAAGACCTCTGATAACACAGTTGGTAAAAGTATGTGGCACTATTGTCACGTGCTTTCGTTGAATAAGGGATTTAACATGTCAAGCTAGCATTGCAAAATCCGTAATTAGAGACCTGGTGAGGAACTGAATGACGGAATTTCCACTCATGAACCGCAGACCCGAATCACAGTTAACTTTTCATGCCTTTTGTTTCCAAAAATCTTATAGATTCTACAAAAGTATATCTGTTCTTCCGTTCGTTTGTTTAACTAGACAGGTATAGGCACAGGTAAAAAGTGGAACATCAGACCGTCATAATTAAATTGCCAAATATTATTCCCAGTTACTCGCGTTCTTTCAGAGTTTATAGGAGTCAGGAGTGACCATATCGGAACTGTTCGGATTTAAAAGCTGTGTTCGTTCCTCGCCACAGAACTCGTTCCGCAATCTTCAGGTTCCGCAATCTTTAAACTTACTCGCCGGTAAAATTAATTGAGCAAGTTTATAGCTTATTTATTTGACCGTGTATTCTTAGACTGCTTTAACAACGTTTAAATTGGTTTGTCTGTTATCGCTTGATTTATATCGCACAACTGGTGGTTTGTCTGTAACACAAGTTGTGACTTTTATTTAAAAAATTTTGGGTGGAATAAAAATGTTAATTGTACCTTCTCAAGACTTTGTCATAATATTTCAGACGTAGAGATAACTCGCTAACTTGTCTAGTATGATCTATAGGACTTTAAATTGCATCCAGATTAATAACAACCCTATAACCCTTCTATTCCTATATTCTGAAACTGCTGTAATATAATTCCCTGTTTTGGAAAACCTTGTTCATCAGTGTGCATGCGTAAATTCAACAACCTACCTAATACTCATGCTTTTCGAAAATAATATTTAAAAGCGCGCACTTGAAAACCAGTATTTTAAACTAAGTATGATAAAGAATAGACATAATTTGTTTTTAAATTATTTTTAAAGGTCCTACAACTGATTGACAAAAGAAATGTATTGTGGCAAAGTACAGTAGAGATATCTGCTTAAAAAAGTATATCTTCGTGGAGGATTTCCTAAGGGAATGTAGCTTGTCTATATTACACTCAGGTAAAATCTCGAAAATACCCATGCAACCAGCCCGTTCTCTGGGGATTCAATATAGGCATTCAACGTTCTCTTCCAATGGTTTATGTTCAGATTGTTTTCAAAAAAGAACTACATACCTGGCATTTATTGAACATTTTTATTTTCCGCCTAGATCATATTCACCATTTTTTCCACTAGTTTCCTTCTTATTCCTTGAAAAAATTAGAATACATTTTGACTGACTAACATATTCTTTTATCATTAAAAATATTTTAAAAAATTCAGTCTAATTTGATGCTAATCAAGTTTTTTATAGACAAACGATGAAATAATAGAAATCCTCCAAGATTTTGATAGAGTATTTATTATGAGGAAGATTTTATTATATCAAATTACAATCAATTTTAGAATTCTTGGATTATTGTCATTAGAAATATTAAGAATCATGGTATGAATGGGCCTGTGTATAACTATCCAGTTATTTGGTAACATCACAGTATCAAGACAAATTTTTAGTTCATCTAAGTTATAAAACACGTGTTTTCTTTCATACTCTTCCTTTTCAGCTAAGCTACAGGCTACTGCTTTTTCAAGTGCATCTCTTTCTCTTTTAAGTCTTTTATACTCTGGTGATTCCCTTGATGAAACACTGGAGCTAAGATGACTCGGACCATCAGGAAACAGACTTGGAATTGCTCCATTTTTTAAACGAGGATATGAAAGTGGTACAATTACCTTCTTTCCAGTTTTTTCATCAAAGAATTCAGTTTGTCTCAGAACATCATGTTGTTTGAAGTGAAGTTCACACACCTTTCAATACAAAAAAGAATAAATAAATAAACATGCATTAAAGTTAAAAAAATTATGAAATGGTAAGCATTTTACCATCCTTTTAAACACATGCATAGACCTTATAAGTCTAATCTAATCTAAGCGTATAATGTGTATGCTAAAGATTACCAACTTAAGGGGGAAAAAAAATCTGGAAGAATACAGATTTTAACTGTCACCCAAAAGGGTTTTATTTTATTTAATCATGGCAAAGCACTCAAGGGGTATCTGCCTAAGAGAAGGGATGTCTTCGTGGAGGACACTTTAAAGGAATTTGGCTTGTATACATTTGGGAAAAACCATTTCCAAACAGGGCTAATTTGCCGGGAACCACCGAACTGAATGACCAGTGTTCAGCAACTTTGCCGCTCAGCTGCTGATGGACCCAAGCAAGAGTTTATCAGGGTTTTTCACACTCTCGCTGACCTCGCAGTCTACCAGTCTGCTCTTGTACTCACTTCTACTAACATTATTTTTTTTTTTTTTTTTAGCATTGTTATTAAGCATAGTTTCTTTTTCCATTTGCACCACATACAGTTCAACAACAAAACCACAAATTTTTTAAAAGCTTAACAGCAGGATATGTTTAGAATTACCGATGTAGTGTTAAATGTTAGCATACATTTTTCTATTTCTTCACTCTTTTCTTAGTCATCATATCAATGTTAAATTTTCTTTTCCTGTTTTATTATAACTTTATTAAATATCACGCTCTTTGCATTTAGGCCATATAAAATTCAATTCAATAGCAATATTCGATGAAGAAATATTCAGAAAATATTCGATGCTAAAAGATAAAAATCTTACATTCCCAAATGGCAGTAATCTCGTGTGTTGGAGATGAAAATATTTTATTTCAAACAGTGTTTCTACATGTAGATTCTTCGTTATTTAATTTCTTTAAAAGTAATACAAAGCGATAATATTTGGTGGCAATAATTTGAAAAGGGATACAGCCATTTAATCCACTTTAAGCGGCAAAATCCCAAAATAAAATTAAAAGCCCTTTTGAGCTAAAAAGAGCCATGGATGCTTTAGCAAAGTTTTGAAAGTGTAAACAATTAGCACATGTTTGTTGTTGTCATATGCCAAATGCACAGATCAAGTAACATATAATTGCTACATCCTAAATATTTTTCTCTTCAGATTTTGAAGACAACACTTGGTTATTGAAGTACAATCAAAAAGTTGATAATACAGTTATGTAAAGAATATGATTAATCATCAATTTGATGGATAAAGCAATCGCATTCACTCCTGGCATTCGGATATAAATTTACTGGCTCTTTTGCTGAACATTTTGAGAACTGACATGTGACATGTCGTCATGAACTTCTGGTTGTGAACCAGAGAAGTACAAATTTACTTGTATACATATGTATGTTTATACTTAAGAACATAAAACATAAATCATTAAAAAAACATTGCTCCTTTTTTATTATTATTATTATTAAGAGAAGTATAAGTGCTAAAGTAATGAAATAAAAAAGAGAAAAACAAGAATTTGTATATTTAAGAGTTCACTTGCAGAAATCAAATGTTTTAGGCTATTATGTGATTTTTGAGTGAAAATTTCACAATCATGTGTCATGTGTTTGACAATATATTGCTGTGGATTGCTCATTTTTAGATTGCTTATATTCCACATGATTTTCTTTACTTTTTCAAAATTTTTTAAATCTACATAATTTATTAATACAATAAAACATTTTTACATTCGGCTGCAACAACTACAAATAAATCAAACACCAGTAAGTGCTTTTAGATAAAAACTTAATGCCAGGAACAAGTTAGGCATTATTGGTATAAGAAACTCATATATATTTGTGTATGGAACACTTTAATAAGCTAATCAGGATTTATGCTACCATGCACAGTGAAAACTAGTAAGCTTACAATATGTGGCAATTTTACTTAGCAGGTTATTTTAACACCCAGTAACCTACTCCAGAAATTAAAATAACTACGGTGAAACACTATTCAATTTATATGTTTGTTTTCTTTTACTTAATTTTACTCTTAATTTTTTAACGGTTTTTTTCAATTAGTAAAATTTAGAACATTGCATCGTTAGCATTAATTTCCTGTTTACATGATCTATGAGCAAAATGCATTCTCAAATGCTCCTAGAATATAATAGGGTATTGCATACATTCAACTGTAAAAAGAAAAAATATATATAAAAGGTATAATGGGACTTAATCTAAATCAGAGCAATTAATAATATACCAAACAGTTAGATATTTAAATCTAAAACAACTTTAAATTAACGTCTTTAATATTGATACATTTTGTATGCTTATCTAATAAATCAAAATTATATGAACATTATAAGATAGGTGGATTTTATATTGAATACTTATTGAGAAAAGGATTCATTTTATAATCACTTTAAAATTCAACATAAGCTCTGTATTACATAAATGAAAATTCCTGCAAGATTAATGAATCACAGACCAATGTACATGTTAAAAAATCTCGATGGTCCTGGGAAAATATTAATTAAAGAGTTCATTAATAATTCTCATTCATAATGT